GCTTCGCCCAGACAAAGTCGCCGAATTCCTTCATCTTTCCTACAAATTGTATACCTTCATCTTTCTTCGTTATTCCTTCATCTTTATCCCTTCATCTTTCTTAAAGATTTTATACCATGTATTGCTGGCAAACTAGGTTAAGGGAGTAAGTTAGTACAACAACAACAAACCGATTTTCCGCACCTAGCCCCGATCAGGCGGCATCGGCAGGTTTTGTCCAACGAATCTACATTCAGTATACTGACAGTTTCGCTTTCTGGGACAGACGGATAAAGGGCGGCTTTTAATAGTTGCGCTACAACCCCGACTCATTTTACATAAATAACCACTTTTTTAAAGGTGAAACTGCCTTTCTGCTTTTTAGGCCGCCAGGGATGCCCTGGAAAAATGCCTGTCCCTCTACTGGTCACGTGTTGAGGCCGCCATTTCCGACCTGCAGGGCGGGAAGGAGGTCGAGGAGGAGGAGGGTAAGGTTGACGAAGAGAAGGGGACCGAGGATGAAGACATGGACACCGACAGTGTGGACAACCGGCTTGACTTGGAGGAGGTAAGCTCCGACCCCTCCCCCACCCATCGGATAACCTCTTGCAAATCTGCCTCGCAGATTATGCCTAATTTGTTTTCATTTCCTTGATTTAACCACACTGAGTGGATGTTCTTGAGGTGGAAATCCGTCAAGTGTTGTCCAGGTTCGTGTGTGTTGCATTACCCGAGGGGTGTCGTGCCGACCTTCGTATACTGTATCGGCCGAGGTGGAGGGTTGGTTGAAGTGGCGTCTCGGTTTCCGTGCTTATAGGGACGCACGTGTATGCCCGGGTGGAATTCGGTCAAGCGCTTGAAGGTCAGTGACTCTAAAACCGTTGATTGCGAAAATGGAATAGCTTTTAGGCAGTTGGCCCTGACCAGGCACGTCACTCACAGCTTTGCTTGGCTGGCAGTTACAACTCCACCCCGGACAAATTGAGGCTTCGACAGTGTAGCCAACGTGGAAAGAAATGTTGAAATCCAGTGCAAATGCGGGTTTGAGAGCGTGTTGATAGAGACAAGATTTGCTCGAACTTGAGGCAAGGCTAAAGCCATTGTGCATCAGCTAAAGGGTTTGCTGAAAATCATGCTGCATCCCCGCCGAAGGTAAAAGAACCCCTCGAGAATACTGACTGTCAACTTGAAGAAGTCGATGGTTTACCTCGGAGCGAGGTTGCTGCCGAATGGACAGAGTAAGGATGACATTGTCTTTCGAATTGACGCAGCACGACGAGTGTTCTCCAGTCTTCGGAAGTGCTTATGGACCCGACGAGATATCTCTATCTCAACAGAGATCCGCGTGTGCT